ATGATGATAGTGACTTTGATCTTGATGATGCAATGAGACACTTTGGTCTTATGGCAAATCTTCGGGGATACATGGCAGGAGGAAAGGAATGGGTTCTTGATAGTGGATGTACCGATCACATGACCGGAGATAAAGATATGTTTCGTGAGCTTGCTGAAAACGATGGCCCTCGAAAGTATGTCACTTTTGGTGATAACTCAAAGGGTAAGATGGTTGGCCTAGGTAAGGTGGCCATCTCACATGATAGCTCCATACAAAATGTCATGCTCGTTGAATCTCTTGGGTACAATTTACTTTCAGTATCTAGACTTGCTGATTTCGGTTTCAATGTCCTATTTACTGAAGTAGATTGCCAAGTGTTTCGAAGAGACAATCATAAAATGGTCTTTACCGGTATACGTAGAGGTGATCTTTACATTGTTGATTTCACTAAAAAGGCTCAACCTAGAACTTGCTTAATTGCTAAATCCTCTAAAGGTTGGTTGTGGCATAGATGGTTAGGTCATGTGGGCATGCGAAACCTTGACAAGCTTATTAAAGGTAATCATATCTTTGACGTTAACGATGTCATATTTGATAAGGATAGACTTTGCAGCGCTTGTTAAGCAGGTAAACAGGTTGGAGGAAGGCATCCGTGAAGAACATCATGACCACAAGGAGGCCGCTCGAGCTACTTCACATGGATCTTTTTGGTCCCAACGCTTACAAAAGTCTCAGTGGAAATTCTTTTGGTCTTATAGTCAATGATTTTTCAAGATTTATGTGGGTGTTCTTTCTCAATGATAAATTGCAGGTCTAGAGGATCTTCAAAAACTTCGCTAGGAAGGCCCAAAATCAATTTGAAGTGAAGATCAAGAAGGTTTGCAGCGACAACGGAACGGAGTTCAAGACCGCAAATGTGGACACCTTTCTTGACGAAGAAGGGATTTCACATGAGTTCTCGGCTACGTACACACCTCAACAAAATGGAGTTGTTGAAAGGAAGAACCAGAAACTCATCGAAATGGCGAGAACGATGCTTGATGAGTACAAGACGCCAAAACACTTTTGGGCGGAAGCGGTTGAGACAGCTTGTCATGCAACAAATCGCTTGTATCTTCACAAGCTACTCGGCAAGACGACATACGAGCTCCTCACCGGTAACAAACCCCAAGTTGGATACTTTCGAGTATTCGGCTCGAAGTGCTACATTCTTGATAAGCATCGTTGCTACGTCTTGAGCTTGCGTTGGTTTTCCTTGAAGAGGAAAGGGTGATGCAGCAATAGTAGCGTAAGTATTTTCCTCAGTTTTTGAGAACCAACGTATCAATCCAGTAGGAGGCTCCTCAAAAGTCCCACGCGTCTACACAAACAAACAAAGAACTCGCAACCAACACAATAAAGGGGTTGTCAATCCCTTCACGGCCACTTGCGAAAGTGAGATCTAATAAAGATAGTATGATAAGATAAATATATTTTTGGTATTTTATAATATAGATGCAAAAGGTAAAGATGTAAATAAAAGTAGATTGGAAGCAAATATGATAAAAGATAGACCCGGGGGCCATAGGTTTCACTAGTGGCTTCTCTCAAGATAGCATAAGTATTACGGTGGGTGAACAAATTACTGTCGAGCAAATGATAGAAACGCGAATAATTATGAGATTATCTAAGCATGATCATGTATATAGGCATCACGTCCGTGACAAGTAGACCGACTCCTGCCTGCATCTACTACTATTACTCCACACATCGACCGACTCCTGCCTGCATCTAGAGTATTAAGTTCATAAGAACAGAGTAATGCTTTAAGCAAGATGACATGATTTAGAGGGATAAACTCAAGCAATATGATATAAACCCCATCTTGTTATCCTCGATGGCAACAATACAATACGTGCCTTGCAACCCTTTCTGTCACTGGGTAAGGACGCCGCAAGATTGAACCCAAAGCTAAGCACTTCTCCCATGACAAGAAAGATCAATCTAGTAGGCCAAACCAAACTGATAATTCGAAGAGACTTGCAAAGATAACTCAATCGTACATAAAAGAATTCAGAGAAGATTCAAATATTATTCATAGATAAACTTGATCATAAACCCACAATTCCTCGAATCTCGACAAACACACCGCAAAAATAGTTTACATCGAATAGATCTCCACAAGAGAGGGGGAGAATATTGTATTGAGATTCAAAAAGAGAGAAGAAGCCATCTAGCTAATAACGATGGACCCGTAGGTCTGTGGTAAACTACTCACAACTCATCGGATGGGCAAGGATGTTGATGTAGAAGCCCTCCGTGGTCGATTCCCCCTCCGGCGGAGCGCCGGCGAAGGCTCCAAGATGGGATCTCACGGATACAGAAGGTTACGGCGGTGGAAATTGTGTTTCGGTTGCTCCCTGGATGTTTTTGGGGTACGTAGGCTTATATAGGAGGAAGAAGTACGTCGGTGGACGCCCGAGGGGCCCACGAGACAGGGGGCGCGCCTTATAGGGGGGGCACCCTCCTATCTCGTGGAGTCCTCGCCTGCTTCTTGACTTGCACTCCAAGTCCTCTGGATCACGTTTGTTCCAAAAATCACGCTCCCGAAGGTTTCATTCCGTTTGGACTCCGTTTGATATTCCTTTTTTTCGAAATACTGAAATAGGCAAAAAGACAGCAATACGGGCTGGGCCTCCGGTTAGTAGGTTAGTCCCAAAAATGATATAAATATGTAAAATAAAACCCATAAACATCCAAAAGGGATAATATAATAACATGGAACAATAAAAAATTATAGATACGTTGGAGACGTATCAAGCATCCCCAAGCTTAATTCCTGCTCGTCCTCGAGTAGGTAAATGATAAAAAAAGAAATTTTTGAGGTGGAATGCTACCTAGTATAATTCTCAATGTAATTTTTTTTATTGTGGCATGAATGTTCAGATCCAGATGATACAAAATAAATCAAAGTAATCATGTCTTCTCAAAATAACATGGCCAAAGAAAGTTATCCCTACAAAATCGTATAGTCTGGCTGTTGCTCTATCTTCATCACACAAAGTATTTAATCATGCACAACCCCGATGACAAGCCAAGCAATTGTTTCACACTTTAATAATCTCAAACTCTTTCAACTTTCACGTAATACATGAGCGTGAGCCATGGACATAGCACTAGGCGCCGCCATCGACTGCTCCGATCACAGCCGGAGCATGGCTTTCACCGGCAGCCTCCCCGACCCAAACCCGTGACCCAACCAACCCTTCCGGCCTATCACCTCCCTGACGCACGAGCACTGCTTCACATCTCGCCCTCAGGCCGCGCCCAGAGGTCGCTGGCCAGCTACCCTAACAGATCTGCACCGGGGAAGCCAAAATGCGCACCGCACAAGCAGGTCCGCCTAGATCGGGCTCGACCCCTGCTTCCATGCCTAGAAGCTTGACGCTCGCGCACGCCACCACGCTGTCCTGGCAAGCTGTCCCGCGCCTAGCTGACGGCCCAACCTGCCACCGAAACTGCGGCTCTCCAATTCCGCGCGCGCCCGCAAGGCGGCACCCCTCAATTTGCATGCGCCACCCAATCTCCAGCACGCAATGTCGCGTCGCCCAGCCTCTAGCGCGCGCAGGCCGCGCCCGGTAGCACCTCCTCAGCCCAGGGGAGCAGCCCCGCGCAGCTCCTGCAGCAGGCGAGAGGAAGAGAAGGCCCGCCGTGGCCGCGGCCGCACGGGCTTTGCCTCGCTCGCCGGCGGCGGCGGAGGGAGGGGTGATGGGGGTGCGGCCTCCGACGACTAGGGTTTCGCGCCAGGGCCGCCCCGAGGGGGAGCGACACGCGGTTAGGGGAATGGCCGGTTTCTTCCAAGCCATGATTGTTTACATACACTGTTTAAGTTTTCAGAATCATGCTTTTCAAAAGTATCCCGAGACTTCCAAAAGGCATAAACCGCGTCGACGCAGCTCTGCCCGCCATTTGGAGCAGAGCGGCCTCTCGTTATCTTGTTTCCAGTCTTCTCGTCCACACCTGGCGACCCCGTGGGCCCACGCCCAGCTCACGCACTCACGCCTCTTAAATTCATCTTCCCACCAACTTTCGTCCCTCTGCCCCGCGGGCCCGCCCCCAATTAATGACCGCTCCTACCCCAGGAGCCAGAAAACGTCCAAACCCGCCTGCCGTTCTCACCCGCGAGGACCCTTTCTTCCTCCCGGACCCAAGAAGGACTCTGCTCAAAATCTCGCCAACCTCCGGGCCACCATCGCCATCACCATCACTCCTTCCAAATTCCCCATCCAGACGAGCATTTGGATTGCCATTCCTTTGTCCGCTTCGCCCAAAAGTTAAAGCGGCGGCGTGCCGTTGTCCGCTTCTCCGCCAGTTCCGTTCCACCTGTGCTCCACCAGCCCATCCCTCTTCTAGACCGGCTTCAAGAAAAGACTGGTTCTGGCTCTGGCTCTGGCTCCTCCGCTTTCCCAACCGCCTGGCTGAACTTCTCGCGGGGGCTCCGGTGAGAATCGCGGGGCTGCTTGTTTGGGCGGAGGCCAGAGGCGATTCAGCTGCTGGGAGGCCTGCACTACGAAGGTAACCACCCCTCGTCTCAGCTGGGGGATTGGGTTGATTTCACTCGAGGGATTTCGTTCTGTTTTTCCGGGCCCCTGCATGTTGGAGATTATACTGATTGTGTCGTGTGGGACTATTGCGCAGATCCAGTTCGCGGTGGATGGAGTGATGCTGCGGGTGTGCTCGATAAGGTTCTTGCTTGCCTGATAAGCAAGGTTTCTTTTGGTGGTTCCTCCTCCTGCCGACCAAGACACACAAAATCTAAGCCTGTTCACACCTTCTATTGCTTCAATTTCCGAGTGCTCTTGCTGCCTGAGATGACATCAGTTTTGAGGGATTGCATGCCTTGGACTCTGGAACAGATTCATCATCTGTACTCTCTTCAGCTGTTCTAGCTCCCCCTTTTTCCTAGCTGGCTGTCTGCATCTTTTGTGCAATTCAGGGCTCTTGTGTTCCTGTAGCCCCAGTTTCTGTTTGGATTCGTCATGGGCACCACTACCGAGCAAAAGATAGCTCTGCTCCTTCTTGGAACCATCTGGGTTCTTCTTGGTACCTGCAATGCTGCTGAATTCACCCCTGCAGACAACTACCTCATCAACTGCGGCTCCACGGTCGACGCTAATCTCCACGATGGGAGGGTCTTCAAAGCAGACAATTCCGGCTCGACTATATTGACATCACATCACAGCGTCCCCGCAAACACCTTGCCGGATGCAGTCATAAGTTCTGACAATCCTGTGCTGTATCAAACTTCAAGGATATTCATTGTGCCGTCGTCCTACTCCTTCAAGATGAAGAGCCGTGGCCGGCATTTTGTCCGGCTACACTTCTTCAGTTTCAGATACCAGAGCTATGATCTTGCCGCGGCAAAGTTCAAAGTGTCCACGCAGCATGTTGTGTTACTTGACAATTTCACTCCGCCGAGCAATTCCTCACCATTGGTCAGGGAGTATTCGCTGAATATTACCGAGGATATGCTGATTCTCTCATTTGTGCCTCAGGGAAACAGCACATCTTTCATCAGTGCTATTGAAGTAATATCTGTTCCTGATGATCTGATACAGGATTCAGCGCAAACTGTGAATCCCTCCGGCCAGTATCTCGGCCTTGCAACGCAGTCATTTCAGACATTCTACAGGATTAATGTGGGTGGACGGGAGGTGACCGTTGTCAATGACACACTCTCGCGTTCATGGGATACTGACCAGAACTTCTTCCTAAATTCCACTACCACTGAACTATTTGCTTACCAAGGGAAGCTGAATTATCAGAAAGGAGCTGCAACCAAGGAGGATGCACCGGACAGTGTGTACAACACTGCAAGGCGGTTGGCTGTGCAAAATAGAACCAGCCCAGCGTCCAACATGACATGGCAATTTGATGTTGACGGTCGTTCGAGCTATCTGATCCGGTTCCATTTTTGTGACATAGTGAGCAAGGCAGCATATTCCCTCTACTTTGATATTTATGTGGATGGCGGGTTAGCGTTAGAAAATCTTGACCTCTCTGAAAAAGTTTTTGGTACCTTGGCTGTGCCATACTACACGGAATTTGTCTTGAAGTCAAGCAATCCTTCTGGTAAGCTAAGTGTCGGCGTTGGGCCTTCCAGCTTGAACAATGTGGCGCCAGATGGCATCTTGAACGGCCTGGAGATCATGAAGATGAACATCAGTACTGGCACTATTTATGTTGTGTGGCCACCAGCACCGCCAAAAAGGAAACTGGCTATCATATTGGGCTCTGTTCTCGGAGGTGTTGGTGCTGTTAGCATTGCTATTATTCTCTGCTTTGTCCTCAGAAGAAAGAAGAAGGAGAAGAAGCCGCGGCGGGCACCGACAAGTCGACCTTCAAGTTCTTGGTCACCACTTACCCTCAATGGCCTTAGCTTCCTTACCGTAGGTACCCGAACAACCAGCCGGACCACTCATACATCTGGGACAAACAGTGATGTAAGCTACCGAATTCCTTTTGCTTTGCTGCAAGTGGCAACAAAACACTTTGACGAGCAGATGGTTGTCGGAGTTGGGGGGTTTGGGAAGGTATACAAAGCAGTTCTGCAGGACAGCACCAAAGTCGCAGTCAAGCGGGGCAACCAGAAGTCCCACCAAGGGCTCAAAGAATTCCGGACAGAGATCGAGCTGCTGTCGGGGCTGCGACACCGTCACCTCGTGTCGCTCATCGGATATTGCGATGAGCAGAACGAGATGATCTTGGTGTATGAGTACATGGAGAAAGGCACGCTGAAGAGTCACCTGTATGGCAGTGACATGCCTCCCCTCAGCTGGAAGAAAAGAGTGGAAATCTGCATAGGGGCTGCAAGGGGGCTCCACTACCTGCACACAGGTTTTGCAAAGTCGATCATCCATCGTGATGTCAAGTCGGCAAACATTCTCCTCGACGAAAATCTCATGGCCAAGGTTTCTGATTTCGGTCTCTCGAAGACGGGACCTGAGTTGGATCAGACACATGTTAGCACTGCGGTGAAAGGGAGCTTCGGGTATCTTGACCCTGAGTACTACCGGAGGCAGAAGCTGACCGACAAATCGGATGTGTACTCATTTGGCGTGGTCTTGCTGGAGGTGATCTGCGCGAGGCCAGTCATCGACCCGACGCTTCCAAGAGACATGATCAACCTTGCAGAATGGGCAATCAAGTGGCAGAAGAGGGGAGAGCTTGGTCAGATTGTCGATCAACGGATCGCTGGGACAATCAGGCCAGAGTCATTGAGGAAGTACGGTGAGACGGTCGAGAAGTGTCTTGCGAATTACGGCGTCGACCGCCCTACCATGGGTGATGTACTGTGGAATCTGGAGTTTGTGCTCCAGCTGCAGGAGGCCGGCCCGGACATCTCCAATGTCGACAGCATGAATCAGATCTCTGAACTTCCTTCAGACGCCAGAAGGATGGGCTCTCTGGAGATCCGCACCGCAGACGAAGCAGACGAAAGCCGCACAAACATGGATTACTCTCAGATGTCGACCAACGATGCCTTCTCGCAGCTGATGAACACTGAAGGGAGGTGAACTGGACTGCATTGTTTCTGTGTCACTAAGGAAGTTGGTAAAAACATGTTGACCTGGAGAAAAGAGATGTCTGTTGCTTGTCCATACCATGTATTGTTGTTTCCGACAAGCCCTTAATTGCATTCATGTTCTGATATATGTTTTGTTCTTTGAACTATATAAAATACTAAATGATGATCTGTTAGATGTTTGTCAGCATATTCAAGAAGTGTTAACTACCTATTTTGAACACATGAACTTAATTGGAACACTTGACAGACCATAACCAGCTTGCTGGTCCTGATTCATTTTTTTCACGATGGCTAAAAGGTACTCCCTCCGTCCCATGATGTAAGACGGTTTTTTTTTTACACTACGGGACGGAGGGAGTAGAACAGTACTTTACGACCAAGGGGCAACGATTATTTAGCAAGTGACGTCTGGACAACACTGATCATGCTAGCCAAGTCTAGATAACATTGTCGCAACCGCAAAAAGACTTTCAGGTTCAGACAAGGCGGCATAACACACGTCAACATTTGTCAATCATGAAAAATTCATGACCCGGACAGGTTTAGACGAGGAGGCATAACGCGAACCGACGTTCGACAAACATACTAACATAGTCTACCAACATAAGAGTTCGGCCCAAGAGACGATGCAACAAGATTAGTTCAAGTTGAGGGTGGTGCGCAGCGTTCGCCATCACTCCCAGGGGCTAGGGCTCATTCTGTTGGTGGCTGGGCGGCTATCACGGGCGGGACTCAGGCTGTTGCCTCTCACACCGTTATGTGAACCATTGACTTCAGCTTGCTCCTTTGGTGGGTGGCTCTTGCCATTTGGTGCTGGGCTGCGGTTCAAACCGGAAGGTGAAGCAGGTGAAGCACTCCTCCTAGGGCTGTAACTAGAGCTTCTTGGTCGCCTTTCCTCATGGCCAACAGCTCGATCATCCCTCCTTGGATAAGGCGATCGGCTGTTAAGAAAATCACAACATTGATGATTAACGATACTGCCAGGAAAGCAACTCAGTAGAGAAGAATGTAAAACAACAGGCACATGTTATACAAAGTTACCGAGAGTGCTCTTTGAACTATGCCACCACAATATTCACTTAATTTCCATACATATCAGTAGCATCCATCAAATTATGGCACTCACATATCAGTAGCATCCATCAAATTATGGTACTCACTTATCACCAGATACCTGCTCTCTACAGGCTCAACAATATTCATTTAATTTCCATACATATCTTCAGCATCCATCAAAATATGGCACAAACTTATCATCAGATACCTGCTCTCTACACTCACTGATCACATATCAACATATAGCAGTGGCAGGCATGAATAATATATATGACTATCAAAGGTAAGAGATTGCTACTACATGGCTGAAAGGTAAACCTATTGCATTTGACCAAATTTATAGTAGGGTAACTCTCATAATAGTACGTTTATTTATTTACAAAATCCAATCATAATGCTAACAAGATATACTAGTATACCCAGATATATTCGTCCTTGGCATAACCACATATAGTTAAGTACTGGACGATTGCACAAACATCAGTCATCATGGCAAAAAAATTGGTTCATACCTGTAACTCCTGCTTAGGCTCCTTTCGCGATGAGGTGGTGGGGAGCGTGAGTAGCTTCTTCCCCGCCTGTATTTGCAAAAGCTAAAAATCAAATGTGCACCAATAAAAGGTAACATCACAAGAAAGCTTCATTAAAGGATGCAAGGAAATACTTGATATTCTTAGGACTGTTCTGGCAGTTTTTTTCTATATGGCCCTTTTCTCCACAGTGATAGCACTTATTTTTCCAGTCGCCAGCATTGCAATCACGAGCCCAGTGCCCATCAATCCCACAGTTAAAGCAGCGGCCAGAACCAGGAGGGGGTCCTCTGCCCAAGTACTCGCGGGAACCTCCTGGGCCACGCGGGGTCTAGAAAATCAACACAGGCTTATCAACTGAAGTCGAGGACAGCAACAGTGCAACAAGTAATCAAACATCATTATCCTCCGCAATTAGAAAATCGGGGTCATGTAGCTGCAAAAATGCATATCTATACCTATACCTATTTTTTTATCTATTTTACTATACCTATATATACTAATAAAAGAAATAGGTATTCTTAGTCCGTCATGCTATTTTATAGAAAACCCCCTGATATTTCTGACATTAAACCCACAGTATATATCAAATGTTTTTTAAAATACTCATATCTTCTAAACCGTAACTCCAAATTTAACATGTTATATATGAAATTTGATTAGAAAAATATATAGAATCTGAATATGATGTTATTTTACCTGTTAACCATTTAAAAAAGTACTATATAGGGTGCAATCTTAGTCAAGAGTGCATTATCCGTCTTTCTTCCGTATCGGTACTAATCCGGATTGTGGATGAACATCTCAGCAAAATTAGGATTGGAGACGAAGTTGAAGAACACTTGCCCGTTTCTTTGTACATATTAAATCTACATGCAAGTCGTGTTTAAATAGAAGACATGTGGAATCTTGAACTTGCGCTTTTGTAGGCAAATACCATCTTTGTTTTGGCCGTAGCTTTAAATACTCAGATTAATATTTTGTAAATTAAGAACGTGTGGTATTCTTTTCTCCCGTTGCAACGCACGGGCCCTTTTGCTAGTTACTAATAAAGGGAATAGGCATTCTTGGTCCGTCATGTGTATTTTGCAGAAAAATCCCTGATGTTTCTAAGTATCAACCCACAGTCCATTAGTAATAAGTCGACAAAAAACAGTTCGGCCTTTTTTCTCGCGCACATGGGCCCACCCGCTTGGGCCTTAGGCCGCCGGTCAGCAAATCCGGCAATGGTTGAAGATACTTGGGATCAAACTCACACCTGCTATCAAGTTTCCTTAGGTCGATCCAACTGACCTAACTCATATTTGTGAAAACAAAAAGAGGTTTCGTATTTACTCCCTCCGTTCCTAAATACAAGTCTTTGGAGAGATTTCACTATGAACCACATACGGAGCAAAATGAGCGAATCTATACTCTAAAATGCATCTAGATACATCCGTATGTGATCCATACTGAAATCTCTACAAGGACTTATATTTAGGAACGGAGGGAGTATTATATAGTACCACATCGCTCCTTTGTGCACAATGTCACCAATTTATAAATGTCTGCGATTTGAAATCAATTAAGTGCCTCAAGATTACTAAAGAGTGGACCGGTGCATCCCGAATTAATGGGGAGATAGAGACCGTGATTCATGAAGGAATTGCTGGGAAAAAATGATCCGATTAAAACAGCTGATGCAAAATGCCACGCCACTCCTATTGGCCAACTAGAATTAATTAACCGGAGAGAGGGGAGGTCGCTTGGCCAATTAAAATTAATTAATAGGAGAGGGAGAGGGATCCGTGGAACATGCATGAATATAACCCCTTGATTAAATCAAGGAATTAATTCGTGGGAGAGAGGATTCGTGAGACATGCCCCAATTAAATTGGTGATTCGTGGCATGATGAAGAATTCGAACTGGCTATGTGTGATCTGTCACTGAACGGGTTTTTTTTTGCATATTATCTATAGAACATATATAAATTTCGCGCAAAAAAAGACCACACATACAATACCTAGTCTCAGTTATTTTTGACAAAAAATTGGGGTGTATCCGGTCCAGCTCCATCATGTTGGACGTCAAGGAAACCCTGGTGCAGGAGCTAGAGACAGACACCTGTTTCAACTATGGCCGGGGCTCCGCCCATTTGCGCTCTGACACCATTGAGATAGAGGTCAGCATCATGGATGGCTACGGACAGCTTATCCGCCGCCATGAACCCCATCTTGCTCGCTCTGTCAATCTCATACCTTGTGTCGGGATCTTATTTGCGCTCGCAAAGGTTCCATGTTTTGTGTGGAAATTGGAATTTCATTAACTGGTCACATTATTACAAGTGTTTTGTATAACTTTCCTAATTTTCAAAGGAACATTCGGAAATTCCCTACTGCAGTGTTACGGTGGCTAGCACATTTTTTACTGCGACGAATCTTAACAAGGTTCATCATCCAGTCTCCTTCCATAAGAGCCTTGACTTCCTTCTTTAATTAAAAATTACATTGGTCTTATATATATTACTTAATTATCTGTTGAGCCGTTTAACTACATTGTGATCTGCTTCACGATAATCGGTGTTTGCTCCAGACGATGCATGCATCAAGTTTAAATGAGACTGGGGCCACCCACCGTCGTTGAATAGGTTGATAACTTGGCCACCATTGGTGACGGTAGTGAAGATTAGAAATGACAACATGGATGGGCCGCTAGGGGCGTGCAAGCATTTGTTTCTCCCGTTGCAACTCACAGGAACATTTTCTAGTAATAACAGGATTAAACTGTGCGTAGAGGAGAATTTCCAGTCCATCAAAGGCTCATTTGTAGATGGCATCAGGGCGAAGTTTACAGTAGTAAAGAACATTGATAAACAACAAAAACTTACCCCTCTTGCAAACTCAACAATGATGCGGCTCCCATCAACCTCTTGGCCATCAAGCTCATACCTTGCATCATCTGCATCCCGGGGATCGCTAAACTCCTGCAGCATGATCCAGAAAAATAAAATTAGGGGTGGGCTTAACATGACCAATCTAACAAAGAAGACAATTAGCTGTGCATATTCCCGGAATAGAACATGGAAATCACAGGTGTAAGAGGTTACTTACAACAAAGCCATAATCATACTTCAGCTCCACACATCGTATTCTGTAGAAATGGTTGACAAAAACAGGAACACCATCAAGATGGTATGAAAAATGCATCACCAGCCATCACACAAAGTAAACATCTACTCGTAGAATAGGCAACAGAATATTTCAAAAGAATCGCCAAAATCTTCTGTAACTTTGGAGCAAGTCACCAATTTCCACCAAAGGCACCCTCACAGCATTGACACCAAGGTAATAGCCCCTCAATACCTTCAACAAGATTATTCAAGTCAAAGCTGGAAAGGTTTGTCTGAGATGTGATGGCAAATTGGCAACACCCAGTAGCACTATGTAAATGGTCAAAATCAACAGGTTATGCCACAGCAGAAGGAATCTTAAACTTCCGAAGCTTGCTAGTTGCTAGTCTCTACTAACAGGTAAGACAATAAACGGCTACACAATTACAAGTAAATAGCTAAAATGACACCTCTACCGAAAGTAACCTAGCAGAGCCTATTGATATAGCTGGATTAAAATTACATTATCAGTGATGCAGTACTGGTCTTTTTCTTTTTTTTGAGGAAGATGCAGTAGTGGTCTTCACTCTAGTCCCTAGGCCACATCAATGCCGAGGAACCTAAATTGACCCATACAACAACAAAGCCTTTAGTCCCAAACATGCTAGGGTAGGCTAGAGGTGAAACCCATAAGATCTCGCAACTCTTTTGGGTTTCATCTCCATAAGAGTGGCTGAGTTTTGACATTGGCTCGCCAAGCCTATCACAACCCTCCTCCTTTACCCGGGCTTGGGACCGGGTATGTTGAGACAACATAGGCGGAGTTCTAAATTGACAAATAATCTAGGGAAAATATGCCTTTAACTAAGAAGTATGCACAAATTAGAGCAAGCCAGGTGCAGCAAGTAAATGGTTCCCAAATTGCACACAAACAATTGTTAAATCAAGTGGTGCACAAAAGGCGTAAACCAGATCCAATTTCCTCACCTCCCATATCTGCCGAAAAGGTACTCAACATCCTTGGTCCGGGTGTGCGTAGAAAGATGGCCCACGTACAACTTGGTGTTGCCACCATATCGGTCATACCGATCATAACGGTCATTATAGCGATCAAAACGGTCGTCATAACGATCATAACGGTCATCGTAGCGATCGTAACGGTCATCATAGCGAGGCATCTTGAACTGCAAGAAAATTGATCGCATCAAGACATGCAGCCAAAATATTGTAGAACAAAGACATGTAAGCATGCAAATGCACCTATAAACATTTGGTGAATATATCTAGTGATTAACACGTAAGGCGCTTCCATAATATTTCAATACAAACGGCAAGGGAGTCACATTGAAATAAACAATTTCCTATATATCAGGAGGAGGCGGAACATAATTGATAACACAAAAAGTACAATGATACTAGAATGTGCTCTCATGCTTTGCAACAGCATATTATTAACTCACTGTCAAAAGTTTCTCACGTGGAACAATAGAAGATTGAGCACACATCTCTTTGGGAAAAAAGGGGATCCAAGTATGCACCAAGACCGGCGTATAGCAGATTAATAGGGGCATGCCTAAATATGCAAATGCACCTAAGTTTTCATTACATGCTGCACCATCATTACCTGTATACATTATTCTATCCATTCAGAAATTAAGACGCTTCTATGCAATTTCTATACAGGCGGCAGCGGAATTGCGTCAAAATAAGATAGATTTGCCCTCTATAGGTGAAAGGGGGCTGGAATTGAAAGGAGAACACAGAATTAATTCCTGTTGAAGATCAAATTATGCTTCCCAACAGCATTATCAATAGTTGAAATTTGGTTTGAGATGAACACTGAGAGCACCACCAATCAAACATCACCAAAGCCGTAGTACGCTAAACCCTAGCAAGCGCGAATCTTCCTCAAACCTATCAAAAGTCTACCAAATGAAAAGGTGGAAGGGCCCCTCTCTAGAATCTTCTAGCGAAGAACAACCTCTTCATCGTTTCGACCATGCATGATCGCGGCAAACCCAAGAACAAGAAAACGCAGCCGAAGGACGCATAGCTCGCGAACAGAATCAAGCCGACCGCACGGCACGGGAGAAGAGGACACGAGATCCGAGAAACGAGCCGCGCGCGCGCGCTCGCGCGGCAATGCGCACGCCCGACGAGATTACGCACTCACAGAGCGGCCGAGGAAACGAACGGGGAATCTCGCGGAAGAGATAACCGAGTCAGAATTACGGTGGCATCCACCTACTTACCCCGCGACGCGAGTGGCGGCGGCAGCGGCTGCGTGGCGAGAACCCTAGCCCGGCGAGGCGCCGACAGCGGAGACGGGGACGGCCACGGAGAGAGAGAGCAATCGGCGGCGGTCGGGGAGCAGTTTATATGTTGGCTGTCTGGGCTTGGATGAGGCCTGTCCGTGGTCCGTGGTCCAGTTGTTGTGGGTTACGGGCCTACAGGGTCACGGGAGAGTGATATGGCCACGAACTTTTCTCGCCGCTAAAAAAGACGAACTTTTCAAAAAAAAAAAACTATCACCTTTAGCAAAACTTTCAAACTTGATCTCATAAAAAATAGAAAAGTTAAATAAATCTATATAAAACCTAATGGCAATTTGAAGAGAAAGTTTATCTAGCGTCCATCAGATATTTGGGATCTGTGAGCGAACGCCCTCCCCATTGTTGCACGGATCTCAGGACGAACGCCACTTTAAAGTTTGAAAGTGGTTCGCCATAAGATAAAAGCCAGTGAATGTTCTACTTTTTAAAACACCCTAGGGTACTACACTAGCTAGTATGGGATACCTGGGTTCGAATCCCATACCCTCCATTTCTGCCTGCTTCTGTTCACCATGATGGAATCTCTTTTTACATGGCAACTTTTTGTAGAAAAATTTGACATGGCGGTTTATAAAATTTTAAAATATGTCACACGGCAATTTAGACATTTTTTCACAAGTCGGGTTTGTTTTTTACATGGCATTTTTTATTATTAAGAGATGGCATTTCTATTATTTAAGAGATGACATTTTTATTATTAAGAGATGACATTTTTATTATTATTAAGAGATGGCATTTTTATTATTAAGAGATGAAATTTTTATTATTATTAGTTTTATTATTAAGAGATGGCATTTTTTATTATTATGAGAGATGGCATTTTTATCATTGCATTTTTCTAATTGTTTTAGTATCTAGATAAAACATTTTTTCATCTATAGCATGGAGTTTTAAAGTTTAGCATGTCAATTTTATTATTATTATTCTAGATCACACGATCTCTTTTTATCATGCTCATTATAAATTAATAAATTAGAGTAATGGTAGTTTTACAAAGTAGCATGACATTTTTCATAATTTAGACCACGGGCAAATTGTTTTTGTATAAGATGTCATTTTTTTATTGGATACTACTTTTTTTCTAACATAAATCATGGCAAATCCTTTTTTTACGTTTTCTTGTGTAGAAAAAAACTTTGTAAATGGGTCTTGAGGCCTGGAAGCCGAAGGGGATGCTAGGGAGGGCTTTGTGGGTTGGTTCGCTCGATCGGCAGCCTGGGGACGAATCGTAGGTTGGAGTGTCCCTCCCTGGTGATCGTCAGCAAGATATTGGGGTTCATTTTTTTGCAAGTGATAGGAACCGGACTACGGATCCTAACCAAGGTTTCGAATTTTGAAACCAGTTAAATTTCGACCACCATCGAAACCATTGAAATTTCTGAAAATTCATAATTTTGAAATATATTTCATACAAATCAACAATTTTTAAATTTGAATAAGTTTGAATTTAAACAATTTAATAAATAGTTATTGTGGCTATAAGTTCACGTAAACGATTGATCTACCCCAAAGGCCAGTTCCTGTCATCTATTATGGTAGACCCAAGTTCGAACATTAGCTATGTCATTTTTTGAAAAAAGTTCATACAACATGCATAAATTGTTAAAATTTGAATTTAAACAATTGAATAAATAGCTATTGTGGCTATAATTTCACATAAATGGCTGATCTATCCCAATGGGCAGTTCTTGACATCTGTTATGGTAGACCCAGGTTTGAATCTTAGCTATGACGTTTCTTTGAAAACTTTCATACAACACGCATAAGGTTGAAACAAAAGCAAAGTAATACAAAATTGGGTTTCAAATCCTAGACTTGAGGAAGCACAGGAATGCGATCATCTCCGATGGTGCGGTGCCGTCTCTGGAGGTAGTGGCCACTAGGATCTTCAACCAAGGTAAAGCGTGGCAGCAAAACCCGCTTGATAAAAAGGGGAATTAGATGAAGTCTTTGCGTTGCTGTTGTACATTTTCCTATAACATCAACGATGGATTGGGTTCTTTACCCACCCTTTTCTATAAAGTATGATACGCATACTCGTGCGTATTTGAGAAAAAAATCCTAGACTTGAGGCATGCTGTTTAGAGAGCTGCCAACCACTAGGCTATGTGAAATAATACGTAGTAATAAGGATTCAACCTTATTTTATCAAAAATGATAAACTTATGGAATCCTTCGACGGACGGGAGCTACGGGGTTGGTTGCCTAAATCTCATTTATTCTATCCCCATAGATTTAGCTATGGAACTCAAATTGTGATAAACCCTAGATCTCCACCTCATCTTCGTAAACACTTTCTGTAGAAACTGCCCGTAACTGTAGCAAAGTTCTTATTTTATACAAAAAAATAAATACCAATTTTTTTGAAACAAAACACGAATATTTCGCAAACCATCGAAACCATGAAAAAAGATCCTTAATCCTAACTTCCCATCGGACCACTCCTTGCCTCCTACCATATATTATGCCACTTTTCTTCAAAAAAAAACATCTCCAATAGCTTCCTACTCCATCCCATAAAAAACCCAGTCCACCCCTATCGTTTTTATCTCTTGAAAACCCCTGTCCACTCCCATTGTGTGTGAACAACCCAGCACGAGAAGGATTTCTTCCTTTGCGTCCTTCCACGCCACTGCCACTCCGACCCCGACTCCAGCCATTCCTCATCCCATTCGTAGCAGTACACCAAATGACACCCCCACCTCAACTACTTCGACTCCAGCCACCACTTCAGGACCGCGAGGTCGCTTCCCCTCTGCCCTGTGTGTGGCATGGAGCAACACGCCGTGTAGGATGTGCCGCCTCCATCGAATGCGACAGATCATCCCAGCTGGACACGCCCTCTTCCCGCCGTCACCTAAATTCTGCTCTAGGTTGTGACGTCGCCTCCCTTGTTCGGCCCTTCTTCGACGTCCTCGAATGCTCCTCCCATCCTCCCCTAGAGGCGAGGCGTGTCCTGATGTGGCTTGAACTACGTCGGTATTTCCCCAAAGAGGAAGGGATGATGCAGCACAGCTACGGTAGGTATTTCCCTTAATGATGAGACCAAGGTTATCGAACCAGTAGGAGAACAACGCAACATAATTGAGCGTTGTACGGACTTGTGATGGCAAAGAATAAAAGTGGCATACTGCATAATAAAGGTTGCTATCATAAGGAGCAATATAACGTGACGTTCTTTTGCACTAAGGGGTTGAGCATACAAACAAAAAGCTCATGGCAACCTCTGCTTCCCTTGGCGAAGGGCCTATCTTTTACTTTTTAGTATTTACTTTCATGCAAGGGTCAAAAGTTTTTTTCTCTATTCCTTTTTATTTTTCTCCTTTGGCAAGCATCATGTGGTGAGGAAAGATCTAGGCACATATATCCAGTTGGATATGGGTAACATGAGTTATTTATTGTTGACATCACCCTTGAGGTGAATACGTTGGGAGGCGAAGTTATAAGCCCCTATCTTTCTATGTGTCTGGTTGAAATGTTTTGCTCATGTGTATGCAGTGAGTGTTAGAAATCATAGAAGAATATATGATGGTTGAGTATGTAGAGCTCTTACTTAGACTCTGTTGAATAAGTTGAATTGCAATTGTTTGGTGACTAAGAACATTGGTTGTTGAGTTTCAAGAGAATTCATTATTTGAACCTTAACATGTGAATTGGTTGCTACTTGGTTGTGAGAAGTTTTATAAGAAAGAATTGATGTTATGATGCTAGGAAAAGTGATTGAAATTGTCATTGATCAAACTTGTGCACTTTGCTAGCATTCACACTTCATAAATTCTTTCTTTTATCATTTACCTACTCGAGGACGAGTAGGAACTAAGCTTGGGGATGTTGATACATCTCCA